GCCGCCGCACCCCCCCTGGCCCGGGCTCCGGAGGCCGCCGGAGGAGGCAGCCGCTCGGAGGATTATTCGTCTTCTCCCCATTCCGCTGCCGCCGCTGCCAGGCCTCTGGCTGCTGAGGAGAAGCAGGCCCAGCCGCTGCAACCATCCAGCAGCCGCCGCAGCAGCCATTACCCGGCTGCGGTCCAGAGCCAAGCGGCAGCAGAGCGAGGGGCATCAGCTACCGCCAAGTCCAGAGCCATTTCCATCCTGCAGAAGAAGCCCCGCCACCAGCAGCTTCTGCCATCTCTCTCCTCCTTCTTCTTCAGCCACAGGCTCCCAGACATGACAGCCATCATCAAAGAGATCGTTAGCAGAAACAAAAGGAGATATCAAGAGGATGGATTCGACTTAGACTTGACCTGTATCCATTTCTGCGGCTGCTCTCTCTGCCTTTCTGTCACTCCCGTGTAACGTGAGAGTAGACGGATGCAAAAAATGCCTGTAGTTTGGATGGCTATCATATTTATGCCTGGTCAGATTTCTAGAGCATGTATTTTCTGTCTCTTTTCATTGTATTCGTCCTAGGGTGTGTTCTGCCAGTCGCAACTCTTGCCCGGGTGCAAGTGTCAAGGCGCCGATTGGTTTCTTGGTCTATCCTTACCCTAGAGGGTCTCTTCCTAAGGGCCATTGTCCGTGCTTAAAGAACGTGTTGCTGGATTAGCGAGCTTGGCAATCTGGTCTGATCATGAACAAAATAGTAGATGCTTTGAGGTTGAGCATATTTCGATTAAATCTTGTCTTAGGCCCTAGGTCAAGGATATAGATCAGATAAAAATGAAAATTAGTGGTGCACGTACGCATATTGCATCAGAATCTTGCAGTGATTGTTTTTAGTTTCCTGGCTTGCATTGATAGATTCAGTCAAATGTGATTTAAAATGTGAGTTGGGGACTGATTTGCATAACTTGAGAAGCAGAATATTTTCAGTACACATAGTGTGCATTTGACAGCAGAAGTAGGTTTGGGTGTTTAAACTAAGTGAACTACAACTTTGATTGCATTTAGAAGTTTTATAGTTTGAAATCAGTAGTGCGGTAATATACCTTCTAAGGTGTTCTTATTCATTCTTTGTTAAATTTGTCTTTTCCTCTCCTGATGGCGTCATGTGGGAGAGGGTATGAAATTTGCAGTTAAGTAGCATTTTATGTTTAGTGTTGTATGTTCAGTGCTCTGGTCATACAGACTGTAATAGTTACTGATTAGTTTTTGATCTCAGATGATAATGTCTTGTAGTTCTAGGGATAGTCTATGTGGTAATGATTCAGACTGCAGAGATTAAACTTCAATTCTCACTTGAAATTTAAGTGTTATTGTGACCCTAGAATTGCTACTCACCTTTTTTTTTTTTTTAGATTTCAAGTCCCTGGCACCGTTTGATTATACGTTAATTTTTCTCTCCCTTGTTAGAATGTCAAGTATACATGACTAGCTGATATCCAGAAATGCTGGCAAAAGTGGATTACTTCAGTTTCAGATTCAGCCTTCTTCATACAGTGTATTAAATTTACTGAGTCAGCTTGTTGAATATGACAGAAAACCTAACTGTGTAGTTTTGATTGTTTAAAAGTTAGGCCTTTGTACTTTAAAAGTTAGTGGTGATTGAAAAGCGTTAATCTTTGCAGCTCCAGGTACAAGACACTGATTTGATCAAGGATGGAGATAGAGCCCTCCTTTCTTAAGGAATGGAAAGTTTTGACAGGAATTCAGAGCTTTTGGTATGGCTTTGTATAAAGCGAATGAAACAATTTTAAGTTACTGGTCTGAGGTGACTAAAGCATTTAAGTTCAGTCAAGGCCTCTGTCAAGACCAGCTTTTGGTGATGTGAACTGTAGCAGTGGGCAACATTTAGTTAAATTTAGTAATTGTGTAAATGTTAATGGGATATTCTTAAGGAAAAGAGCATTTCTTGGCAAATACCAGTAAACATTTTATTTAAAGGCAGAGTGACCCCATAGTGTCCGTATGTCCTGCTAAAAATTATAGGTAAGTTTTTGGTTTTTTTTTTAGGGAAATTTTTATATCTGGAAAGTTCTTTTTTTTTTATTACACTTATATGCAGCTAATGTGCTCGGGTTTTTGTTTGAAATGATAATAAAACTTACTGAAAAAGTAGCTTCTTAAAACTAAGTTGAAAGTAATATTTAAAAGATTATTTGGAAATTTGGGGATGTGCATTAATTGTAAAATACTACTTAAGCTGAACCTGACTTGCTTACACAGAAGACATGGAAAAATTTTTTCTGATTTGTGACTTAAAAAAAAAATCTGTTGGTGTGAATTAATGACGGTCATCTAGATACGTAGGAACAAACTTTAATTTTTAAAATAAAAGTCCCCATTCAAACAAATGACTAGAATGCTGTCTCGTAGATTTGTTTCAGCATTCAAAGTACATTATTGCTTTTAAAAAATTTTTCCCACTTGATTTTAAAATCAGGGTTTTAAATGGTTTTATCAGGTTTTTATGTATGAGCAGTAAGGTTATTGGCAATTTATTCTTTGATTTCTCACTAGGTTGACTTCTGCATATGAAATTTATGTGACTTAAAACTTTCTCTAAAACTGTACTTTTAGTTATGGTATGCATAGAAAGCAGTAGCAAGTATTGCATCAAATGACTAGTAATGCTTAATTTCTAGAGTTGTGGTTTTATTGAGCCAAAGGTTGATATGAAAAAGCCAGTAGGGAACGTCACTGAGGGTACCTACTTTTTGGATAGTTGTACTCCTAATAATTTTGATATGCCAGAGCACTTGGGTTTGCTTGGTTTCACTTTAGTATTCTGTTTATTGTGGTAGGGGGGTGCAGAGGGTATGGTCACTGAAAACTGTCTCTTGCAGGTTGTTCAGGTTGTTTAGTCTGTTTCACTAGCTAGTCTGTATAGAGTTGAAAATTAGTAAGTGGATTATTTTGTCTGATAAAAATTAATAAAAAGATTTCTCAGGAAAATTGAAGGCGATAATTTTTAAACTATTTTGCAACTTTTTTATTCTAAAATTTTGCTAGTAGAATTTTACTCAATATTACCTTGCTAAACATGAGACTAAAAAAATGAATGTCTTGAAAATGTAATGAAAATTTAGGCTTCAGCTGTATTTTTTATTGTTTGTTAGAATTGCATCTTTTCAAATACTGATCGTTTTAGGGAGTATTTTTAACTTGTATAGAATATAGTGGCTTTTGAAATTTTTTCTTAAGGTGATTATTGAGATTAATTATTTTTTTAAAAAAATGATTCTATTCACAATCTTTTACATTGTTTTGTATCTGCTACATGGAATTTCTTTCCTTGAAACATCACAGGCCCACCTAATTGCGATATGATCATTTACAAACTTTATTTTCCATAAAGCTTATTGAGGAGTAAAGCATATCTGAAAGAACTAACTTACAGTTTATATGACTCAATATAAGGAAAAAGAAATTTTATTGCTATCCCTTGTAAAAGTTTGCACAACAGTACAGTCATCAATGCAAGATTTATGTTGTTTATAGTGTACTAAATAAATATTAAGTGATTAAAGATAATAAAATATGGTGAGGTATAGCCACCCTAATTTTAAGCTTAGGTTTTAGATAAAGTTGCATTTGTGTGTTATTACCTTTTAGAATTTTATTTTGACAACATGGGAAGGGGGAATGGTGACATTTTATTTTTTGTATGGAACAATATATCTGTTTTCTCAAAAACCACATACAATTTAGAAATATCTTAGTGTTTATGAAATTGCTTATTTTTGGAACTAAAGCAGTCTTCATTTGTTGTTTTCAAATGTTCTCCTTTTGAAATTTGCCCACATTTGCTATTTGTTTATTTGGTGGTAGCTTAATACTTTTTAGGAATTTTTAAGCCTCTTCCTAAGTAGTCATTTCAGTGACTTTAAATGGAGGAGTATTTCTTAGGATAAAATCAGTTCACAAAATTTCATCATTAATTCACTTTCAGTAAACATTCTATTTTAAAATTTTTACCTCAGTCTTTCAGTAAGACAGAAATGTAGGAAATTTTTTATAATACTATCATATATGAATTCAGAGTTTGAAAATAGAAATTTGAAAGCATGTATACATAGGACAGTTTTTCACCTGAAATGTTACGCCTCTGCTGGCCTGTAGGGATTTAACTTCCAGAAAATATTTTACTAATGCACTTTAAGAAAATCTTTTTTAGTGTCCTTTTTTTTTTTCTTGTTAGAAACCAGTGAGTTGGAAAAAAGACAGTTCTGAAGTTTTAACTTGTTGAATCTATTACTCACTTTTGCTCCCTTTTTCTTCTTCTCCCTCCTTAGTTAAGCTTGGTGTTCAAAGTCAGCATTGGAAAATTCATTTTGTTGCTTGAATTCATTAAGAAAAAATGTTAGACTTTGTTCTAAAGGTAGTGATTTAGAATATTTGTATCAACCTGTGAGATTGCGGTCAGTAATTATTTCAGTAAATCAGTTCTGTCTTACAATTGCTTTCTATCTGGTAGCTTTGAAATTAATGCATTTGTTATTGGCGATACTAGTAATGTTTAGGCTGCATCAAATAACCTTAAGTTGGTAAGGATTTGCTGAGCAAACTGATGTCCTTAAGTTTTTTATATTGACCATACTTCTGCCACATATCTTTTTTTTAAAGAATTACTTATTTTTTTATTTATTCATTCATTTAATTTGACCAGAGAGAGAGAGAGAGAGGAAAGTGAGTAAGTAAGCTACCAGGTGGGGGACTCAACCATTAAAACAGTTATTAATTTTTTAATTTATTCATTTATTTATTTTAATTTGACCAGAGGGAGAGAGAAGGAAAGTGAGAAATCACGCCCACCAAGTCCAGGACTTAACCCTTTTGGCCATGTGGGAGTGTCCAGCACCTTCACCACCATGCCACCTGCTGGTCCCCAACCCATACCTTTTTTGCTAGGTGGATAAAAGTGTTTTGGTCTGTGGTACAATGGTTTTCTTTGTTAAGTATTCAGTATATGAATTTACTAATGTAAAATATGGATTTCTCAAGGAAGGTAAAATTAGCATGTTTGATTTGACCATTTAACATTTCCCTAATTTTTCTAGTTTTCTTCTTTAGTTGTAGAAGAGATATTAGCAATTTCATCCTTTTAAAATAATTTGTGCTGACACAAAAAAGCTATCAGCAAATACTAATCTAAGAAAAGTTTAGAGGTGAATTAATTTTGGAAGAAAGTTTTACTTTAGTTCAGTATAGTTTAGGGAGTCTCTTCAACTGCAGTAGTTGACATTAGGGCATGGGTAGACAGCTTCAAGGTATTGGGTATATATTTGTTGGCAAAGTTGAGAATATTGAGAGATGAATATTTTAGCTGCACCTGCCAGCAGAATATCTTGACCTGTGCATAGTATA